GCATTGTGCTGGTGTGCACCTGATTTCCCCTGTATGAATCAGAGGGGTCAAAAAAAGTCCACCTCCCCGAGAAAACCCAAAGCACAATACCCAACACCTTACCAGCAGATCACTGCTGATGAACTCAGCTGAGCGTCAGTGCCGGTGGTGGGCACTAAGGGAACCAGATGGGTGATAAGATGATGCCGTTGTCAACTGAGAATAAGTCAAGCTTTTGTGTGATGTTACTGAGTGCTGTCGGTGTTACTATACCATTTGTGAGGGACTACTTGTGACAGAACCTGCCTACCAGAAGACAGTCGAGGAAATACAATGTGCCAAGAAAGCTACATTTAATTCAGTACACCTTACTTATCAAGATAGCCAGACTCCACTGTTTCATAGGTACAACATTCCCCATCACCCTATATAAGCTGTGTTCTTATCACAAACGATTTACCCCACCCTCTATAAGATGTGTTCTTGTCACATACAATTTGTAGATTGAGAGAATATCTCTTACAAGATTTTTCAGGCACTCAAGCCCTTCATTAAGCCGTAATGAATGTTGAGAGAAATGTATACCCTGAAATGTTCATGATGGCCCTTTGTTGTTTTGATATCAGATTAGGGAGAATGGACTAATCTTAAGAAGAATCATCCAGTGTTTACATTGCTTATGCTGCTTTAATGGATGATTTGGAAGAGGATTGGCAAGGAAGGAGCATGCAGTGAGTGCCACTGCCTACCTGTTCAGAAAAGTTTCCGTCAGAAAGGCAGTTGAGAGGGGAGTGTGGAGGGATGCAATTTTCATTCTTCCTCCAAATACTAGCTACAGACAGAATGAAATACCTTTCAAGGGGTCATTCTTGTGCTGCTTATAGAAAAGAACACACTGACAAGAGTTGAATACTGGAGAGATTGCTTTGCTTAGGGGTAGTGGGAGGTGGTCTGACCATCCAGGACTGTGTTTTAGCCTAAAAAGGGAGTGACATCTTTTAGATGTGATTACACGTGTTGATGTGCTTTCTTTGGTTTGCTACCATGTGACATCATTTAGCTTAGACTGTAAACCAGTCCTTGTGCTAGGTGAATCCTGGGAGTTTAGGAGGTTAGGATAGTGCTTATCCTGGGGAATATCTTACAAAGAATAATAGCATTATCTGTGGTGCTTAAGTTCGTGTAACTACTCTTTTCTTGTCATCTAGAGGAGTGAAGCAGTGTCCTAAATATGCTGCAGTTGTGGATGTTGACTCCTGTGACATTGCACAATTGCAGTGAACTGCTGATATAGTTTTGCCTTCTGATTCTGTTTTTGGAAAGATGGCAGGTGTCTGTGTCCAGCCTCAAACTGGCCCTGACTGTCCTCGCTGTGGGGCTGACTGCTGCTGAACTGGGATGGGGGTAGCAGCTGAGGCTGCTGTGGGGGGTGTGGTGGCATGGCAGCAGCATACTGAGTCGAATAAGGGAGTGCCTCATTTTGAGTTTGTGGGCCATGTTTAGAACTCTGGTTGTATTAAACTGGTAAGTCCTTTCTAAAAGTTGACTTAGCATTTAGAAGTTTACTACATTTAAAAAAAAAAAAAAAAAGCCCCAAACACAACAAACCAAGTTCTGTAGATGCTTTTCTCAGCTTATTTTAAGCACATCAGGGACTCACTGATTCATCTAGATGCTGATATTATGCTTATTATGTATGCAGTCATTAAGTAGATTTTAAATGGTACATGGCAACTTCCTCTTTAAATGGCAACTAATTTTAATGAAACATTTAGTTTGCATGCTACAAAAAAAAGTTAAAGGACTTCATATATGAGATTTGTAATCTCAGTGAAACACAAACCCCTGTTTTCCAAGACCTTAAGTGTTCTGTGGCTTTCCATTTTCTAGTTTTTGGTTTCATGAACTACAGTCTTCAAGAGAGTGGGGCAATAAGACTCTACAATGTTTCAGCCATCAAAGTCTGTCTAGATGCTACTGACCATACTTTACTTTTTAGTTTACCTACCTTTGCATGCTGTTTTAGGGCAAGCATATTTAACACTAAGAGAATCCTGCATAAAGGAGAACATGGAAACGTTGTAGTGCATTGAACAATTCCACTGTCATTTCAAGAAACAGCAAGCTCTTGAGTTCAGCTGTACTGCTGAATGCAAGTCTGATTCTCTGGAGGTGAAAGGCATCTTTTATTTTTAACCTTAGTGATTGCTTGGCAGCAAGTGCTAGCGAAGTAAATCTTCGAGGCCTGATTTAAAAGTCTCTTGGCATTCTTGTATCTTCTCGTGTTAGGAGAACCTTTCGCAACCATCTTGGCCAAAGCAGTTAAGCCCGTTGTGTGGCTGTTACTGCATCCCAGGGCATTGCTCCCACAATGTTATAGAGGTGATGTAAGGACATATTAGGCAATATAGTTGGCAATGCAGCCCAAAGTGGCAACTTTATTGCTTAAAGCTGGTAGAAAGAAGAATTAATAAAACTTGCCGGTTCAACGTCTAATGCAAATTGCACAATCCGTGACTCTAAGCAGGGCTGTTCCAACTACCTACCTCTTTGAAATGTCGTATGGAATATCAGGGGATGTGTAACTGTTGTTTACGAGCAGCTGCTCTGCTTGCTTGCATTTTTTTTTTTTTTTGTTTTTTTTTTTTTTTTTTTTTTTTTTTTTTTTTTTTTTTTTTTTTTTTTTTTTTTTTTTTTTGTTTTTTGCTACAGCTTCAAATTGGTACAGGGGACCTGCTGTGGTCTAACCCCAGCTGGCAACTAAGCCCCACACAGCCACTCACTCACTCTGCCCCAGTGGGATGGGGGAGAGGATCAGAGGAGTAAAAGAGAACCTGTGGGCTGAGACAAAGACAGTTTAATAAGTAAAGCAAAAGCTGTGGATATAAGCAAAGCCAACCAAGGAATTTGCTCACCGCTTCCCATGGGCAGGCAGGTGTTCAGCCATCCCCAGGAAAGCAGAGCTCCATCACACGTAACGGATATTTGGGAAGAAAATGAGCTCTGCCCCAGACAAACCAGCATAGTACTGTACTGAAGTTGGCCTCCTTTAGGTTGCCTTTTAAATTAAAAAGCCCGTAAGTGTCGTTTCAAACTGTAGTTGTTGCATACTCCTTTCTTTTTTAGATCAATTTTGCCAAATGGCAGTGTGATTATGTCTTCATGTTTTGTGCGTAAAAATAGAATTGTGATTTGGCTTCTTGAAATATGACAAAAACAATCAAGATTTCAGCAGTTCTGTGGCTTTCTAAATATTTCTCCTTGCTCTTAAAATCTTGCCCAGCTCCTTCATCGAGCTTCCTGTGTAATGCTGTTAAACCTCATCTTAATTCTCCTGTGACTCTTGTGTTTACTAAGTAAACAGCTGTGGCCGTTTCAGATGTTACTTCTCAGATGGAGGTTGCTGACCCTGTAGTGAAGGTGGCAGGAAGGTGGGCACACCATCTGCTCTGCTGTCATGTTGTCAGCATACCATCTTGGGTGATTAAAGCTGTGTGCCATACTGAACTCGGACAACTTGAGGTATCATTTAGCTCTGCAGAGTCTGTTACCTGCTCATTAGCAGCTCTGTTCTCTGAGGATTGCCAGGCAGCCGAGGGGATATAATATTGCAAAATGCTGCAGCAAAATTAACTGTAGCCCATTTGTCACAGCTGAGAATTACCTTGCAGTGATCATATGTAAATGAAATTAGTTCCTGTAAGGATGGAATACGCCGCTTATTGGCTTTTTGGAGGTGACATTTTATTATAAGACTGCCAATATCAATTCCCCATCTTATATTTTTAATTTTCTCCCCTACATTGTGACAAATTTCAGCATCTTTATTGGGTACTAAAATTCCAATTTAATTATGCATCCTGGCAAGTTAAAACTTGTTAGATGGATTATCCTAATGTTATGTGTTAGTCACATCTGAGTACTTAGATGCTGCAGTAATAAGAATGACACCGAGTGATTAGTGCAAAACAAATAGATTCTCATTCAAAGTGATTCTGAAGCCTCAGCTGAGGCTTCATTCTGATAATTCTCTCTGATTCTTTCTGGCACTCAGATTGCAAAGTTCTCAGATATTGTGCCTCCCAAGGCTACCAGTGTCCAGCAGGCATCTCTTGGCTGACTATTGAAGAGATATACAGTGATGTACAAGACAAAGGGGTGACCAATAATACCCTTGGATGAGAGCTCAGAATAACTGTCATTAATTTTCTGCAAATATAATCACATCTTGTAACGCTTTGAGATAAATTTACCCTGAATCCTTTTTGCAGTGTTGTAAGTCTGAAATACAATGACTTTTCTGAGTAGAAATCTTGGGTTATGGTTTTCTGGGGGAATTGCCTGGGTCTGATCGCTCTGATGGAACGAACGGCGTTCAAATCTGTCTGCTCTAATTCCTTACACAAGGAAAGGTACAAGCCTATTGCCAGCAGTGATTGTGAGCATGTTAATTTAGGCAAGGGAAGCTTAATTGCTCTGTGTACTACTGCCCTCCTTGCAGTCTGTCTAAAATTAGTTGCTGCATGAGCTCTGCTTGCTTGCTATTACCTGAGCAGCTGTACCAGTACTTAACGACCTACTTTTGGTGAATCCTAGCCCAGATGATTGAGCTTGGCTATGAGCTTCATACCTGCAAAAAGCTGATAATTACAGAGTACTTGTGATAAGTAGTTTATTTCTAAGTAGTGTTCACAGGCTGGTGTTTGCAGCTTTGTAAAAATAAAAATAATTTCTAAAAAAAGTACACATTTTTTTAAAGAAGTTCCATGAAGCTCAATTTCTATCATCTTTCAAAGTTGGGTTTAACTTATGTTAGGGTATGAAAGTGTTAGTGGCCTCAAGATGAGAATTCGTTATCCAGCGGTGTAGAAATCTGTGTAATTGGTCCTGTTGGAGTTTTGGCACACAGAAGAGAAGTTGTGGTGGCTGTCTGGTAGCTTTTAAGCATACTCTTCTTCCGGCCAACTTTTACACCCTTCTTTTTACCTTCAGTCGGCTTACATAAACTGTTTGTCTTTCAGAGCCAACACATAATCAGCCAAACTGAACCAAGAGGAGAGCGAATATTTGAGAAGGCTCCCAGCATCTCATGAATGAGCAAACGGAACTCGATAATGCTGGTTCTCCAGAGCCAGGTCTACGGCTCAGAAGAGGACACATGTCTGACCCTGCAACAACACAGGCAATCTTTGAAGAGGACAGCTCTCAACAGAGGCTTCTTTTAGAGGAGCCACCTCTGTCTTCTGATCAGGAAAATGTAAGTTTTATATGATTATCTGCTAAGGTTACTGGGAAAAGGGAGTTGTGGTGTAAGTGCTTCTTAACTCTCAGAAAGGTGGACTGTGAGCCTACAGCCTTTTAATGCCTGCTAAATAATTGTAATAATACCAGGAAGATTCCAGAAATCCTCAGCTGAATGTGTGGGAGCTTGAATGACAGACTGGGCATAACTAATTTTACCAGCTTTTAAATTTTCATCCCATCCTCAAAGAAATGGGATTTATACTGATTTGTTCTCTGCTGAGATGCTGCTCTTCATATGAAAAGATTTTTCTTCTGTAACTTTCAGTTAATTGCAAGTGAAAGGGAAAGATATATTGACTTTGGCTGAATGTAATCAGAACTTTGACTAATTGCTATAATTTTGGAGATTAGGACAGAAAAATCTGTTTGCAAGCATTGTTGTTGGAAGAATGACCATACTGGATTAGGCCAAACATCCACAGTGTACAATATCCTGTCTCTGGACAGTAGCCAGTAACAGATTCCTAAGGAAGAGCACAGGAGTGGGGAAGCACGTTGTTTTACTTCCCTAGGACACTCTCTCACTCTTTAGCAGTTGGTGGCTCACAGATTTTCTGAGCCAGTGTCAGTGTCTTTAAATTTTTGATGCAGGAGCCTCTGTAAATTTGAGCAGCCACAGCATCCTGCGGAAAGATGTTCCACAGCTTAATTAGGTGTTACACGAAGGTAATGTCCAAGCACCGGACTAAAGTACCTTCTGGTTAGAGACTTCCAGAACTGTAATTAATGCTTCTCCCAGGATATGTTCAGATGGATATCAGCACAGTTAAGTGGAAGAGGCATTCATCTTAGGCTCCCTATTAAATTTATCATGAATTAATGACTTTACTGTATCAGCTCAGTCACAGCAACTGTGTGGTTTTAGCCAGCAGCAAAAACATGCCGGTGCTACTAAGTGTGTGTTAGGCTGTGGCTGTAATTGCATTTGTCACAAATTCTGGGTATGTGCAAGGAGCACTGTCATGGATCAGCTGACATGAGAACCGGTATGAGCTTGTCTTAACTTGATGAGTTTGAGGTCTTACAGAATTTAGTTTCAAGTGTTCTTGTAATGAGAAGTCAGAACAGATATTCGTGGGTAGTAAGCCAAGCCAGTGCACTCTAAGTTGTACACTTCTCTAGGATGTTTTCAGTATATCATGATAGCAGGAAATACCCAGAGTCTTTTTCCATTCTGTGGAAGGTTGTGAATCATGTGTATGAGATGCAAAGTCCTGGCCAATATTTGAATTCCGTAACATTAAAAAAAGAGAAGTTAAATTGTTACATCATGTATTTTGAACACACTGTGTTCGGAATCATCTGTTTTGAAGGATGTTTTCATTCTCATCTCTGACTTTCCTGGCTGAGTAATGTGAGTTACCTGCTGCCGGTAGGTGGAATAACCCAAAGTAAAAGCCCATAATTGATTACGGTCTTAAATTCTTTCTGTACATTTGTTTAGCCAAACAGAAATTACCTGAATGAGTTGAAGTGCTTAATTTTAAAATTTTGGAAATAAAATAGTTTGAGCATTTTCATTCTCTCTTTCAGGCATTCTTAGCATATGTTATGTTTGTTTATTTTTTTATTTGTTTACTTTAAATTGTATGACAGAAGTATGTGTTTCTTTTGTTTTGGCTCACTAGAAGTACTTTTCAAGGAAGGTGAAAGCATGCCATTATGTTCAGAATTATTTTCCATCTCCCTCACAGCTTGCATTGTATACTGTGTATTTCTAATTTTGATGGGCCAGTATTGTTCCTCATTAGTAATAAAGCATTTTTTGTGCAAGAAAATGGGAATGATATGAAGAAATAAAATTTACTCTTGAAAGGTTTTTTTTGTTTGTTTTTGAGGCCTTTGACCCTGGCACCAGTAACCTACCTGGGAGGTTGCATAGCTGTGAACTAAAAATTACATTAAGGATCCTACTTTCTGTAAATAGTGGCATTCACTGAATCCATATAGTAAAGATTAACTAGCCATATTGAACATGCTTATTCAAAATAATAATAAAACAGCTACATCCTTCTGCCAGTGCTGGTAATCTGCCAGTTTTACAGTGATTCTTATGAGAAGGTAAAATTAATATCCTTTTACTCTCAAACCTCTCAGTTGGTATTTTATCCCATAATTCTCAGCCCTCTCCTGGAGTGCAAGTGTGTACATAGATTGTCCCCTCTTCCAAGTACCTGTTCCAAAGAACATCTTACTATTTTGTTTAAACATGCAGTTAAAGTAGTGACAGGTGAGTGCTGAACCTTCTGTGACTTGAAGAAACGATGACCATTTATCTGCATGTTAAGCATTTGGTGGTGAGAAAAGGATCAGACAAGCTGCTTAATTCTTCTTGTTCTTTCAGCAGCTTGAACTTTTTTTCCCCTTCTCTGGTTTGCATGTACTGTGTATGTGCTGATGAGGTGTTTTTCAGCAGGTGCTTCCTCGTGTAGCATGCTGGATTGCCTTGCCTTTGGGACAGCATCCTTTCTCCTGTCCTGCAGTTTCTGTGTTTTAACTGCCTTTGTAATTCCAGCAGCGATAGTTCCTGAAGAAATCTCTCTTTCTGTGGCTTTGTTAAGCTGACACAATCGAATGCATGTGACTTCTCACAATGTGATGAATGGGCTCTTTATGCAGCCCTGAAACCCTGTGCTTGACTCTTCCCTTTTGTAGTTTAACCTGTCAGTGACAGGAGGTAAACAAAAGAACCATTTTTTTTGTTACATTTATTTCAGTCGTCGGGTTTTCCTGTGCTTGGGTGATGATTCCTTTCATCTTTCATGCAGTTGAGCTTTCATGAGTAGTGCAGTTGTCCTGTGTGGCACCAAAATGTGCCCATAAAGTGGAGGCTTATTGCTTTAAAGTGCTTGAAAACCTGCAGCAAGGGTTTGGGAGGAGGTCTGTGTAGTGCTCAAGTTATCTGAATGGGCAGAAGAAATTTGGGTAAATACTTGTCTGAATTGCTTCTCAGGGAGCGTGGGCTTTGACTTCAAGTGGAACTTAGCTGACCTCTGACGGATTTCATGATATCTCCGTGTACCTACAAGAGTCTTTCTAGAGTGTAAATACCAAAGTGACTTGAAGAAGAAAGGCAGAAGGATGTAACAATTTCAGGTACAAACCAGAATTTTTAGAGTAATTAAAGGTGAGCAAATGACTTGAGGCTTTTAGCTTGAATCACAGAACTTAAAGCCTTTTCTGTTACAGAAGTGTGTATGTATTATCTGAAAAAGCAGACTACAGAAATACTTTTGACATTGACAGAAAGGTGCAAGTAAGTAAATGAAATGGTCAGACTCTCTTTATGGTACATTCCGTCTGAGTGAAAGATTGAGGTGTTAAGTTTTGAAGGTCAAAGGTAGACATTGTAGTCTTTCTGAAGCTGATGTTTTTAAATTCTGATTGCCTGAAATTTTATCCTTTACAGATCTACTTGCAAGTTTCTTGCTCGGTTTGAAACCATTTGGCTTTATTTTCAGTCTGGCATTTTGTTATTGGTACTTTGGAATTATGATTAAAAACTTGGCATCTGCTTCTTTATTTTCCTTCTTCTTGCATTGCATTGCAGGTTTTGTTAATAGAGTCTGTCTTCTGAGAGTGAATGGGAGAGGCCTGGAAAAACAAAGTTTGAGGTCCCACCAAAACATATTTGCTTTTGTTTTAAAGCAGATTATGTTCAAAATTTGTTGTTCTGCGGATCTCTTTACCACATCTTCTTTTCCTCCATTTTTTGCAACTCTTGGGAAGGAGTGTTATTTCTTTAAAAGCATGTGAGACGACATTATACTTCAAATCAAAAGATCTTAACATCTGAATTTATCCTTCACTTGCTGTTCTAAGCACTGGAAGTAATGTGTATTTTACTCAGACTGCCAGTCACTGAAGTAAGTGCTTGAATCTAGTAAATATGTTTTTTGGTTTTTTTTGTACAGCAAAGCATTTTTGGATGCACAGAGCAGAATATCTCCAAGTATTCCCACTCAAACAGTACGAAGATACGTGATACATTTGTGGAGATAGTTTCCAGGCTCCAGAGGCTTGAGTTGGTCAGATGCTCATGCACCCTCCACTGACAGTTGATGTGCCTGAGTTATTAACAGACTTTAAGAGCTTGAAAGTCTGCAGAAAAGACAAACAGTGGTGACCTAATCAGCCATGGGTAGGCAGTGCCCAGAAGGCTGGTAACGTGTGCGAATCAGCCGTGTCTTTCTCTCTCTGCTCTGTCTCCCAGAAAACTCTCATTGAATTAACAAGAAGCTTGTCATAGGTTATGGCTTGTTGAGTTGCAGCTGGGTTCAACTATCTCCTGTTAGTGTGGAGTTTCAGCTCTTTGGGAGGGGAAGTGTTGGTACTCGAGGGTTTGCTGCCTGCCAGCGGGTTTTGTAACATTGCCTGCTGTGCTGTGTTTTGAAACTAGGAGAGGGAGGGAGTAGTTTTGTTTAGCATTCACTGGCGCAACTGTTTCCCTGGACAAGGGTTAGATTCCATGGGCTTTGCCTTTGTTCTCCTGGAGATCATATCTTTCTGATTTGGGCAGCAGTGGGGGGAAGTGTTGGCCTCTCACAGTGATATAAGAGGAAACACTGTTGTACTGGTGGGTTAACTTGCATCTTCCTCCAGCTGCTTTAGATTGATCGACTCTGCTCTGATGTTAAGTTCGGCATACACTTTCAGTCTCTCTTTGTTTATTTTTTTAACAGAGCATTTATTTTTCCATAAGCCCAGCATGCTTGTTTTCTTTTCCTGCTGTCAGGTTTAACAATGGCAGAGGAGCAGGAAAAGGCACATGAGACTCTTCTGCAGTAGAAGCGATTTCTACAGGCTCTCCCCCAAAGGGTGCTGATGAGCACATGTGGGCATTGAGGCCTGTGGCCCTTTTCAAATACTAGGCATTGACAGAAAATCAGTAGTTGCTACTGCTCGGAGATTCAACAGGACCTTTTCATCTGAAGATATTTAACAAGGGAGCAA